TTGGCCCAGGATCGAACATTGTTTCGTTCTGCTGTGCATGGAGTCGCTATGAGTCGGTTCCGACTCGATGGCACCTGACAACAACAACAACAACAACATTGAGATGCAATCCAATGTGGTCTTTGATCTTCATGAGCAAGAATTTTAAGTCCTCTTTGCTTTCAGTAAGCGAGATAGTCCATGTCGCAGGTGGTTAGTGAGTCTTCCTCCAAACGTGATGCCACGTTCTTCTTTATATAACCCGGCTTCTGGGATTCTTTGCTCAGTGTACAGATTGAATAAACACAGTGAAATGACACACACCTTTCCTGATTTTAAACCCTTCAGCATCCCCATGTTTTGTTCTAACGACTGCCTTTTGGTCTTGGTAAAGGCTTCTCATGAGCACAACTAAGTGTTTGGAAACACCCATTCTTCAAAATATTAGCCATAGTTTGTCACGATTCACACAGTCAAAAATCTTTGCATAGTCAATAAAGCACCAGTATTTTCTGGTATTCTCTGCTTTCAGCCAAGATACATTTGACATCAGTAATGATGACCCTAGTTCCATGTTTTCGTCTGAACAAGGCTTGAGTTTCTGGCAGCTCCCCATCGATGTCTGTTGCAACTGTTTTTGACTTATTTTCAGCAAAATTTTACTTGCATGTGACGTTAGTAATCTTTGTCAATGATTTCTTTGTCAACCCCATATTTGAGTGCATCCATTCTTCCTCAGCCCTCTTTATTCATTGTCCAGCTTTTGCCTGTGTATGAGGAAATTGAAAATACCATGGGCTGGGTCAGGTGCACCTTGGTCCTCCAAGTGACATCTGTGCTCTTTAATACTTACAAGCGTTTTTGCAGCAGGTTTACCCAATGTGATGCGTTATTTGATTTACTGACTTCTGCTTTCATGGGCATTGGTTGCGAATGAAATCCTTGACAACTTCAATATTTTGCTGTTAGGTGCCGTCGAGTTGGTTCTGACTCATAGCAACCCTGTATAGTGTTTCCGAGAAGTGGTTGGGGGATTTGAATTTACAACCTCGTGGTTAGCAGTCCAGTGCTTACCCTACAGCAGCATCACACCAGGGCTTCTTCAGTATTGAAACTCAAGGCTTGATTGTTTTCTTCAGCTCTTTCAGTTTGAGTAATGTTGAGCATATTTTCCCCTTTTGTTTACAACTCCAGGTTTTTGCACATTTCATTATAAAACTTTACGTTGTCTTCTTGAGCTGCCCTTTGAAATTTTCTCTTCAGCTCTTTTACTTCATCATTTCTTCCAGTTGCGGTAGCTTCTCTATACCCAGTAGCAAATTTTAGTAACTCTTCTGACCTCCAATTTTTTCTTTCCTTCCTGTCTTTTAAAGAACCTTTTGCTTTCTACTTGTTTGATGTCCTTGATGTCATCCCACCTCTCCTCTGGTCTTCGGTCATTCGTGCTTATTGCATCAAACATATTCTTGAGATGGTCTCTAAATTCAGGTGGGATATACTAAAGGTCTTATTTTGCCTCTCATGGACTTGTTTACATTTTCTTCACCTTCAACTTGAATTTGTATGTAAGTAGTTGATGGCCTGTCCTGGTGTCTGCCCTAGACTTGTTCTGACTGATACTGACCTTGTCCATTGTCTCTTTCCATTTGTTGTTGTTGTTGTTAAGTGCCATCGAGTTGGTTCCAACCCATAGCAACCCTGTATAGAGTTTCCAAGGAGTGACTGGTGAGCTTGAACCACCAACCTTGCAGTTCAAATGGCTTTGCAGTCTGGTACATTAACCCACAGTGCCAATTCCTGTGCATTCCATCTGGGGAGGTTGACGTCTATAATTGTCAGATTCAAAATGTCTAGTTAGCTGTTCATTTTGAGCTACTGTCATTGTTGTTAAGTGCCGTTGAGTTGGTTCCAACCCACAGTGACCCTCTCTATAGGGTTTCCGAGGAGCAGCTGGTGAGTTTGAACCACTGACCTTGTGGTTAAAACTGACTTTTCAGTCCAGTGCATTAACCCACAGGGCCACACCAGGACTCCTTAATACCTATGATACCGATCTTTATGGGTCACATTTAATTTTTGACAACTTCTAATTCTCCTAGATGCATATGTACATTCCACATTCTCATTATTAATGGATGTTTGCAGCTGTTTCTTTTCATTTTTATCATGCCTCATCAGCAGATGAAGGTCCTGAAAGCTTTAGAATGGAATCAAAGTACATTAAAAAAGATCAAAATAAGACAACATATAATAAATCTAATTAAATGAGACAAAAGTAAATTGTTAAATTAAACAAAGTAAAATGTAAAATAAAACTTAATAAAACAAAATTAAATTACATCAAAGTAAAATACCATAAGGAGCCCTGCTGTGAAGCTGTGGGATCAGCTCTAGACTGCTAAGAGGAAGGTCAGCAGTTCAAACCCACCAGCAGCCCCTCAGAGAATGCTGTGGTTCTAGACCCTCCGTGTGTAAACTACCGCCTCTTGTCTCTGTCTGTCCTGAGTGGAAGACCCTCTAGGACTCACTGAGACATCCTGCACCTTCAGGGGCCATGGTTAGGTCAGATTTGGGGTTAGAAGGTGTGCTGTTTGAAAAAACGCAACTTTTAAGATTCCCCGTGGCTTCTAGACTCAGGTCAGGACTTGCAGCTGGAGTTGAACCTCTGCTTTTAGACTGTTCTGTTCTCACACCCCAAGTGCCTGGCATAAGCTCTCACGTATCCTGTTGTGGGATATGGATGTTTTTTCCTCTATTTTAATTTTTACTGATTTCTAGAGTCAGAGGACCTTAAAAGGTGAAACCAAACAAGACGCGTAGATTTGTTGGTTTCGTTTGTTTTTGAAAGAGCCAGGGTTGGCTTTAAGGGGTTGTGGGATGGTCTTCATTGAAAGGTGTTATTCAGGTGGGCTTGGAACCTCTTTAAAGTGAAGAGTTCTAGGTTCAATCTTCCATGACACAGAAAACATTGAAAATAAACCCCATTACTGGGAATCATTGAAAAATCCCTGCTGTCTTTGTCACTTTCTGTCGACATCTGTGTGGTGTTGTAGTTTTAGAACCAAGGTGACATATATCCTTTAGGCTTTTTCATGCAACCTGTTCAGGGTCCTGAGGTGGCCTGCTGAAAAAGTCAGTGATTTAAATAGAACTCAGATAACATAACTTTCCTCCCAAACAATGACTTCCCCTACAGTTTAAAGAGGATGTAAGTGTGGAATTGCTAACCAAAAGGTTGGCGGTTCAAATCCAGAAGCCTCTCTTTGGGAGAAAGATGTGGCCATCTGCTTCCTTAAAGAGCCCAGTCTTGAAGACGCTGCTGTATCCTGTCGGCTCACGACTGACTCCTGGTGGCCGTGAGTTCAATACTGGTCAGTGGTTAATTCCAAGGTTAGCAGTTCAAACCCATCAGAGTCTCCACAGATTTCACAATCTTTCATAAAGATTGGCAGTCTACAAAAAAAAGACGTTGTACTTTGCTCTGCTGGGTCGTCATGAGTGGAAATCAGCTCTACCACAGTGGGCTTTGTAGAAGGTCTTCTGTCTCCCCCCTGCCCCCCTCCCCCCCAACTTGGACTACCAGCTTCCTATAGTGTTTCTAGGGCCACAGTCATGTACACTGAAAGCCCTTGTGGGGACTAACACCTTTTAAAAGGCGAAATTTTAATTCCTCTGTTTGATTTCCCTCAGGCTGATTTCAGAAAACCCTTCTCAGGGCCCAGAGGTCCAAGTCTCCATTGTGGAAGTTTACAATAATGAGATTTTTGACCTTCTGGCAAAAGACCATTCTCCTGTGGCACCTGGCACGAAGCGTGAGGGGAAGAGGGAGTTGACTCTGGCCAGGCAAGAGTGAGTATCTTGTGGCGGGAGCCCTTAGGACAGGTTCTTCTTCCAGCTGGGGCAGCCCATTCACCAATGGGACCCACACTATGGCTCTTAGTGTTTGGAATGTGCTACACAATTTCAGTTTGCTTTTAAAAAAATAGTCTTTTTTTAACTCCAAGACTTCAAAGTAGGGACTCATAGAGATCCGTGTCCATCTATGTCTTTACAGCCCAGCTCCTAATCTGCTGAAGGTGGGCACAAACCAGCTGTCCATCAATAGCTGAGGGGTCAATGCAATGTGGTCTCTCCACATGGTCGCACATTACTTAGCCATAAAGGGCAATGACATCCAGAAACATGCATGAATCAACCTTGAAATCAGTCAGGGACAAATGTTGTATGGCACAGACACGCAAAGTGAGCAAATATTGTTGGGAAAATGACGCTAACAGACTTGCTGGCAGTACGTTGTAACAAACCTTCTATTTGAAAAAAAGTAAAGCACAGGGCAATCAAATGCGAGGTATGTCTGTATCATGCTGTAGTTTGGCTAAGATCAGATTCAGTCTTGCTGCCCTGTGATACATGCATTTAACTCAGTGTATGTGAGAGGTTCCCATCTAGCCAGAGAGGGTGAGACATTGATTGGAGGACAGAGGACCCGAGAAGTAGAGTGACCTGTGTGTTACCTGTGAGTTACCTGTGTAACCCATGTGTGTTACCTGTGTGAGTAACTCGTGTGTGTTACCCATGTATTACCTGTGAGTTACCTGCATGAGTAACCCATGTGTGATTTACCCATGTGTTACCTGTGAGTTACCTGTGTGAGTAACCCATGTGTGTTACCTGTGTGAATAACCTGGGTGTATTACCTGTGAGTTGCCTGTGTGAGTAACCTATGTGTGTTACCCATGTGTACCTATGTGAGTTACTTGTGTATTAACTGTGCATTGCCTGAGTGTGTGTGTGTAGTCTGTGTGTTACTCATATGAGTTACCCATGTGTGCCACCCAGGACATTACATATGTTTGCTTTGAGTTACCTATGTGTCACTTATATGAGTTACCTGTGTTACCTTGAGTTACCTGTGTGTTACTTGTGTGCACTGCCTGTGCATTGCCTGTGTGTGTTACCTATGCGTTTCCTGTGGTGTTACGTGTGTGAGTTACCTGTGTGTGTTACCTGTGTGAGTCACCTGTGTGCCTGACCTATGAGACTCAGCATGACTTCCTGCATACCCCTCACACCTGTGGTGTTAACTACAGATTGGTGGGCAGTGCTTCAGAATTCATGAGGCTCGTGGATGGGAGTCTGCAGCTCCGAGTGCGACACCCCACGCTTGTGCACGCAGATTCGTCCAGGTCTCACCTGATAATAGCCGTGACTCTGCCCACGGCCACCTCTCTGGACAGCAGCAGTAAGTTGCTATTTGAGAATACCCTAGATTGAAAAGGTAAGTACACAGGTAGGGCCTCAAGGTAGTGCACAGAACCCAAGAGGAGGGCTTGAGTTCCAACCTAGCCACATCTTGGGAGACTGGGGAGAGGAAGGGAGGCAGGAAGCCATTGGTTAAATGATACAATCACACCAGTTACCATTGACTCCAACTCAGACCCACCCCACACGTGGTGCCAAACTCCAACTGGGCTCCAGCTGTGGTTTTTGTAACTAGAACTCCAGGACTTGCCTCTGGGTGGAATTTCAGCCTTTTTGGGTAACAACCAAAGGTGTTAACCCTTTGCAGCACAGTCTGCAAAGAAAAAGGGCAGTGTGCCTTGGTGTACAATGTGCTTCTTATCAATGAAACTACAAATGCCATTTTGTCTTGAAAAGAAAGTTACCAATGGTCTGAAGTCGTTCCGAACGTGAGCATCACAGCCGGGAGTCTTCACTAGTCAGTGAGGCCAGGGCCTCAGGGCTTGTTAGTTTCAGCTTGCTGGGCAGGGCCCCTGGGGATGGGACAGGTCACCTGCATTTCCAGCAAGTTTAGGGTACTGTTGAGTTGCTGCCCCAGGAACCATACTTGTCTGGAGGCTCAGCTGTGTGCAGCTGTTAGCACAATGGCTGGTGTTCATGGCCCATCTCTGTAAGGTGCCACAGGAAAGGTGTGGCTGTTCAGGAGTCAGGATGAGAGGGCCGGGGAGCCACAGCAGCCCAGGACTGATGTCATCTCAGCTGCGGCCCGTCACAGGGCCCTGACCCCAACAGGAGACTGTGGCCGTCCACTGAGAGATGGCGTGGTCAGGTGATGCACCTGTGCTACCCGCAGGCCGGGGAGTGAGCACCCTGCCCTCTCCTCTGGACTTTCCACAAGGAGTCTCGTGTAGGCACGTTGTGTGTTCCTTAGCAAATCCCTTGTTAAGAAGTCCAGGGGGCATAGTTCCTCAGGGCTAGCACATAAAGAACCTGGCCACGTGTCCAGTGAAGACATTAGCATTTATTCTGAGGCTCTCTGTGTTCTGAGGACCTTAATTGGTCACATGACCAGTTCTTTGTAGGAAGTTGTTGTTGTTGTTGTGAAGTGCCGTTGAGTCGATTCTGACCTTAGCAACCCCATATGGGGTTTCCGAGGAGCAGCTGATGAGCTTGAACCATTGACCTTGCAGCTCAAATGACTTTACAGTCTGACGCATTAGCGCACAGTGCCACGCCTAGTCACCTGCCCACTTTCTTAGTGGGGGTTGGATGAGGCCTTTCTTCTTTTCTCCCACCTGTATCCTGACCCAGTGAGGATGGGCCCTCAGGGAGCTCTCAGCACAGATGCTTCAAGAAAAGAACTCTTGTGGGTTTGTCCTCCCCTTGCCTCAGGCTACCTACCAGATCACACCCTGGACAGAGTGACCACATGCTCTTCTTCAGGGCCCAGGCTCAGAGAGAAACAGCAGGCTCCCCATCCTGCCTCAGCTCCAAGGGTGGGTTCCGGGGACTCCCCAGCTCACCTACAGCAGGTGCCTGCCTATCTGCAGCTTGTGGACCTGGCGGGTAGTGAGTGCATTGGTGAGTGCTCCCCTGTGAGCAGGGTACTGGGAGGAGGGAGAGCGAGTGCTCCCCTGTGAGCAGGGTGCAGGGGGAGAGAGGGGGAGTGTTCCCCTGTGAGCATGGTGCTGGGGGGGAAATGGAGTGCTCCCCTGGGAGCAGGGTGCTGGGGGGAGGGAGAGGAGTGCTCCCCTGGTGAACAGCCCCTCCCCCTCCCAGGAGTCTCACCCCACCGAACAGATTCTGGGGTCTGGGAGGCTGAGCAGGCTGTCCCTGGAGATCTCACCTAGCTCCCCTCTTTGGGGATAATGTTTGTGTCTGTGATGGTCCGGCTGCCTGTGTGTTCATCCTAAGTGTCCCCTGAAAGGACCTTACAGTGGAAACCTCCTCCGGGGCTTAGAGCAGACATGACCACTGCTTTTTGTCCTCAGGCGTGTCCGGTGTTACAGGACAGGCCATGCGAGAGGCTGCATACATCAACCGGAGCCTGGCCGCCCTCGAGGACGTCCTGGGAGCACTACGGGAGCGCAGGGGCCACGTCCCCTACCGCAACAGCAAGCTCACCCACCTCCTGCAGGACTCCATCGGTGAGGGACCTCGGTCCTGGCTCTGCAGACCCTGAGACCACCCTGTAATCTGTCGTGTGTGGGATCTGACCCTAGCTGGTTTCTCGTGAGGCCTCTCTGTCCCCTGTCTTCACTGCAGGAGGGTGGGGAGCACGAGGGAGCTGCCCCACACAACCACTGGTGGTCCCTGACTTGACCCGGCTTCGCTGGGATTCTGGTTGCAAGTGTCCAAATAGAGGTGTATATTGCCTTTGGAGGGTGGCCATGTACTTCACCTCAGCCCGCTACCATTCTAGACATCCTGCAACAGGCGGGGGGGGGCTGCGCCAAAGTCAGGATGACATGCAGGACAGGGCTGGGCGCGGGGGCACAGGGTGACACCATGGGTCCTTGCGGAAGGCGGGTCCTTGCAGGGGGCGGGTCCTTTTGGGGGGGTTGGGTCCTTGCGGTGGGGGGGGGGGCGGGGCACAGGGCTGGCTCTGGAAGCCTCTCCTCTAGGCAGACAGAGCTGGGGTAAAGCTGGTGGACCTGCTCTTCCCACCTCCTCTGGTCTCCGCTCTGATGAGGTGACCTGCTGTTCCTGGGAGTTCTGGTCACAAGGCAGAAGCTCGGGGATACCAAGGGGGGAGTTTCAGGGCTGGTGCAGTCTCACAGCCCCCCTGCTGCAGCCCCAGGCAGGGGTGGGAGGAGGAGGGCCTGAACACCAGGGGTCTCTGCAAAGCTGGAGGGGAGGGGTGCTGGGACTCTGACAGGTCCCATGGGTGCTGTGTGGAAGCAGGGTTCACAGGTGGTCTCCCTCAGGGTCTGGGTCCCTCCCCTCAGCCCTTCCTCCTCCTCATTTCTAGTTTTCTTCAGTTTTCTCCTGACTGGCTGGCTGGGAGTGACCCCCTCCACAGGGTGTGGGGTCCTCAGTCTCATTGGAAGTCATGGACACTGGTGCCGCCCCCGCTCCTGCACTGCAGCTTGTAGGTGGACCCCAGGCCTTCCATGCCGGGAGTTTCAGGATCCCCCACGGCGTTCGGAGGGGCATCTGGGCCTCGCTGACTCCTCACCCCAGTTGCTCTTTCTTCTAGGAGGCGATGCCAAACTGCTGGTGGTCCTGTGCGTGTCCCCCTGTCGGGAGCAGCTGGCACCCACGCTGCAGACTCTGGGCTTCGGGGCGCGGGCCCGGCAGGTCCAGCGGGGCCCCCAGGGAGCCCGCGTGAGGCCTCGTGGGGTCGGGGTGACCAGCTGTCACTGCAACCCCACGCCAAGGAAATAAATGGCTTCACTCGGTGGCTGTGAGCCTGGCTTGTCCACTCCCCAACTTCCCGGTGCACGTATGGCAAGGCTTCCCAGGTGTGTTTGGGGGTGGGGTGTGCCCTGATGTTGGGACAGGGAAGGGGGGCATCCGAGTGACGCGGAGGGGTATGGTACTTGGTCAGCAGATAGAATCTCATCGTGGCCCCCTTCTTGGCTGTGGCTGTAGGGTCTTGTCCAGTCTGGAGGCTATGACAATGACAGGTAGGCAGTGAGGCCATGAGGATCCTGCATTTCTGGTCAGCTGCTGGAGCTCACCGTACCCCTAGGAGAGGCACCTGGGTCTGGGGCGCCTGATCTGCCTGCCACCCCAGGATTGCTCCCATGCCTGGCCCCGAAATCAGAAACCATCTGCTGGCAGAATCTGAAACTGGGTAACAACTGGGAAGACACACAGATAAAATGCAGCCTGTGTTACGTGTCTGCATGTCATGGTCCCCACCTCATGTCTGATGCCATTCCATCCCTAAGGACACGAGGAGGGAGGTAGCTGTGTCCTGTCCCTGCTCCGGTCACCTGGTGGTGGACGGGAGATGCGTCACCCTTGGGAGCTGTAGTAGAGCATTGTCTGTGATGAGCTCCTGATGAAAGCAGGGGAGTGCAGCCGCAGACTCACACCAAGGACTGGCTGTTGTCAACAGGTGTTTGCTCTAGTGCATGTAAGTCTCAGGTCAGGCTGTCGGTTCTCGGGAGGACTTACCGGCCACCTGCTCTGAGGGAAGGTCCTAGTCACATCCAGCTCCTGGCTCCTGCTTTCTAGGTGACCTCCATGTGGTCTCTATGCTGGCTCAAGAACACCAGCCGCTCCTCAGAAACCCGACACAGGCTGGCTGTGAGTTGGACTCGATGGCACTAACAACAACAGCTTTAGCCTATCAACCTAGTGGGGCCCTGGTGTGGCGCTCTAGGATAAGCCCTGGACTGCTAACTCCCAGGTTGGCAGTTCAAACCCACCAGTTGTTCCTTGGAAACCCTGTAGAGGATTGCTGTGAGTTGGAACCAATTTGATGGTGTGGTGCTCTAGGATAGGCACTGAACTGCTGACCAGAAGGTTAGCAGTTTAAAGCTACCAGTCACATCTTGGAAACCCTATAGAGGGTCACTGTGAGTCAAAACTGAGTCAGCGGGACTTGCCAGCAGCAATACTGCTCTAGCGGGTTACGACTTGGGCTATTAACCATAAGATCTGATGAAAAATGAAACTTTCTGCTTCTGTAAAGATTTACAGCTTCAGAAACTCTTTGTTGTTTTAGGTGCCATCGAGTCAGTACTGACTCACAGAGACCCTGTGTATAATAGAATAAAACACTGCCTGGTCCTGGGCCAACCTCACGATCGCTGCTACCCCTGACCCCATTGCTGCCGCCTTTGTGACAATCCATCTCGCTGGGGGTCTTCCTATTCTTCTCTGACTCTTCACCTTACCAAACATGATGTCCTTCTCCAGTGACTGGTCCCTCCTGACAATATGTCTGAAGTATGAGAGATAAAGTTTGGCCATCCTGTCCTCCAAGGAGCACTCTGATTGCACGTCTTCCAATACAGATCTATTGGTTCTTTTGGCACTTTCAGTATTCTCCTCCAACACCACAACTCAAATGCATCAATTCTTCTATGGTCTTCCTTATTCACTGTCCAGCTTTTGCATGCAGATGAGGTTATTGAAAACACCATGGCTTGAGTCAGGTGCACCCTAGTGTTCAAGCTGACAGCTTTGCCCTTTAACACTTTAAGGAGGTCTTGGGCAGCAGATTAGCCTAATGCAGTATGTTGTTTAGAGTCACAATGAGTTGGAAAGGACTGACCATACCCAATCGCCACTACTACCAAGGTTTCTTTGTTGCCTAATCTGTTCTTCTTGGATCTCAGAAGGGATTGGCTTTAGACACACCCTACACTGTTATGGCCTCCTGAACACGCTAAGAGTTACAGTACAGACTTTGTGGGCATGGTAGGTAAGACATGGTCACAGCCAGGTGTGTAGCGTGAGCCTCGCATGGCCTGGACCAGGAAGTGGGGCAGGTGGGCCACTGGAGCGGGTGGGGCAGTTCCCCCTCCCAATGCCCCGCCTTCTGCCTGCTCCATGGAGCTGAAAGGTTCTCAGTCGAGTCCCCAGCAGCCTGCCTGCACCCCCAAAGCAGCATTGAGACACACACAGAATTTAAATTCTAGTTGCTCACACTTTCAACACAAAGAGAAGCAGCTGAAATGAATAATCATTTTATTTAATCCAATAAATCCATAATATCATTTTGACATGTTGTTGGCAGGCCTATGCCCAATGGAACAGAACACTGTGCCATGCTCACAGTCCTTACTGTTTGAATCCATTGTTGCAGCCGCTGTGCCAACCCGTCTCACTGGGCACATCCAACATAACAAGTTCCAGTGAGGTCCAAGTGTCTAGAATCCATGCGTGCTCTACATGCTCAGCACAGCTGAAAGGGCTGCGTGGAGCTGGAGGGCGCAGACTTGTTCTCAAACCTCACCTTGCAACAAATGCCTCGGACGTGTGCCAAGGCTGTGTGCTCCAACCCAACCAAGCAGAAGCCTGCGCTTACTCTGACTGATGGCGCCTCCACATGGGTCACAGCAGAACTGCGATTCACAGGGTTTCAATCGCTCATTTTCTCCCAAGTCGATTGCCAGGCCTTTTTACTGAAGCACATGTAGGTGGACTCAAGCCTGAAACCTTTTCAGTTAGCAGGCTTTCTGCCTTCCAGGAATCCCAGGGAGAGAGAAATACCTTGAAGACTGACAGCTGATGGCCCTGACCACCCGCCAGCCCATTTGACTCTTTGGGATTCAAAACTGACTGCAGTGTTACCTACAGAAGACTAGAAGTCTTGATATTTTTTTCATGTGGATCTGAGAGGGTCCATCCTTGTCGCGGGCCCCTGGCATTCCTTGGTGTCTTTCCTCCTTTGTGTGTCTTTGTGTTGAGTCTCTTTTTCATAAAATGTCACTCATGAGGGATTAGGTTTAGGACCCACCCACCTCGGTGCTGAGCGGTGGGACAAAGCACGGGACCACAAGGTCTGTATGGATCGTAAGGTTGTTGTTGTTAGGTGTCATCGAGTCGGTACCGACCCATAGTGACTTTATACACACCAGATAGAAACACTGCCCGATCCTGGGCCAACCTCACTACTGTTACCACACTGGAGTCCATCAATGCTGCCACTTGACCAATCCATTTCATTGGGTGTCTTCCTCTTTTTCTCTGACCCCCCCCTCCCCC